GGGTCCCAATCACACCCTCCCAACCCCAAAAACACCCAAGAACTGCTGCTGGGAAAGAAGATGCAAACAGTTGGGAGCCACAATCAAGAAACAAGCTTTTGTAGAGCAAATAGAACAGCACAGCATCATGGTTAGAACACAGGTTAAGAATCAGAAACATGCCTTTAAATGGGGACTCTGCAAAGAGGGCACGAGACACTGGAGTAATCTGCACCTTATCACTCGGCATGGCAACGGAGACAGTCAAGTACATACCTTACAATTGTCCAGGGTGTACATAATGGTACCTGTGTGCGCACAGCACAGGACCAGCATGAAATCAGTACATGCTGAATGCATAAAAACAGCCTGAATGAGGAAGAGCCAGGAGGCAAATTCACAAGATGTCCAGGTCCAACAAGTGGTGGACAGCTAACTCATTGCCCAGCCCAGTTGGCAACGGGTGAATGCCCAGTCATCACCTACTTTTCTCTGCATATACTGTGTGGGTACCAAGGGGGTAGAGAAGGGAAGCCACCCCGATGTGTGGTTACACAATGACACAACAAGGAAAGTTGCTTCCACGTCCTTGTGTAAGCTAACTATGGGAAATGTACTCTTTCTATCCTGACACTCACATTAACCTTCGACCCAAGGCAGCTGCTATGTCAGGAAAACCATCAGCAGAGCAGGATAATAAATAACTGTCAACAGTGGAAGCCAGAGAAGTCAATCTAACAACCCCAGAGAGCTAGTTGGTTTGATTGTTGGTGAATCTAGGGGGTTCAGGATGGGAGAGCACATCAGAAACCAACCCAGACAGCCACCAAGAGGATCTAGAAAAAATCAACCTGTCGTGGCTTATGTCTAGATGTCTTCCCAAAACCTCATGCCGTCATAGATGGGGCTTCTTCAGAGGCGGCTGGCTCTAGAATGAGTGACATGGGATTGTTTCATGGTGTAATGCTAGGATCAAGGGCACTAGGATTAAAGGTGTGAGTGCTGCCTGCCCTAAATAGCCTGGGTAAAAATAAAAAGGCTGTGGTCATCCCTTGTTATCACTTGCTTGCTTTGCTACCTTCTGCCCGTCATGAACTGTTTCTCCTCTGTTCTGCCTGTCTGCTGTGCCTCTCTGCCTTGGAGCCCGCTGACTACGGACTGAAACCTCTACAAACTGTGAGTCAAATAAACCTTTCGGAACTCCATTAACTTGTAGGCACTGAGTATTTTGTCTCACCAATGAGAAGAGTAACTAAGGCACAACCCAAACAAAACACATAAATGGCAGAAACATCCTCATTTGGAAGAGGGATTAGACTAAATTTTAAATAGCTCTACGAAGTAGATGTTACAAGGAGATGAACTCGGACCCACAAAATAAGACACGTTAGCAATTAAAATACAGATCGTGGTAAAGGTCTCATCAAGCAGTAGGTACTCCTGGCTACACAAGCTGGATGTTGTTCGTGTAACCAACTTTTGCACACCCAAGAGGCTTAGGAGTACACATCATCATCCTGTACTACCGTACAGGATGGTACAGGATGTAGGGGGTAGGGACTCAGAGAAGCTAGACTGTGTGCTCAAGATTTAATTCGGAAATGACATTTGAGCTCAGATTTTTCTGCCTCCAAAGGCTAACTGAGCCGTACTAAGGCTGCTACAAACAGCTGTGTGTTTTGTGCTTTGCCCAAAGACATCTCAGCTGTTTCTATGAGAAGAAGCATGACTTATGTCTCTTGGTCTTCAAGATGCTTTCCTTCAGCTAAACCATGCATTGGAATTACCTACACCCTAGAAGAGTATCTTTCTCTTTCTGTTTTTTAAAATTTGCCTGTAAGCTAACTGTGGCCCTGGCTACACTGCTTCTTGGACCACCTCCTGAGATGAGAGCGGTTCAACCCCAGAAGGGTGTAGTGCAATGGACAGAGAGCCACCTTACTCTATCCTTACTGTACGCTTACTCATGTCATTCTGCTGCTCTCGGTCTTTAATTTAATGGCTCCCTGTCTTTTTGAGGTCTGCATGATGTGACCCTTACGTACCTCCCTCCATTTTTCTACAATAGTCCCTTTTATCATACAGGCCTTTTCGGGTTTTGCTCCAGAGACTTTGTATTCACGGTGTCCTCTGAGTTCTGTTTCTTCCAAACCCCTTGCTAGATGCTCTCTTACTGATCCTTCAGGTCTGGGGTCTAAACACATTTCTTCAGTGATGCCTTTGCTGACCCACTGGTCCAGGCTGAGAACTCCATATATGGGTCAGATCCAGGTAGGATGGCAGAAACACAGTGCGAGTTTAACACGGAAGGATCTTTGTACAGGTGCTTGATTGAGCAAAAAGAGACACGAAGGTAACAGAGGTTTGATAACTACAGGACAAAGTGGTCAATCCCGGGACCAGGAAAAACAGGGCAGAGGTGAAGTTTCCAGACCCTAGAAGCTTAGAGCTCCTGCAAGTACATCTGAAGAAGCAGCGGGCAGGGCTGCACCTGGAGATGGGAGCCACCTGCTGCTCTGGGGAGTGGGCAGTCACCTAATCAGGAAGCCCCTTCAGCTGCGGTGAAGCTAGCAAGAACAAGCGGAAGCAGGAAGGGAGCCCCTTCTCCCCATTTCTGCCCTCTAGTCTCTTTCTGGTGCCTCCTCTTAGCAGACACTAAATGAAACCTGAAGAGGCCTGGCCCCACACCAGAGAGCTCTGTATAGGACAGATGTGGAGCTGAGAGGCAGCAGGTGAATTACCAGACTCTTCTAGCCACGCTCACAGCACCACACACAATGCTAATCACAAGTACAATCACAATCACAAGTCTGCACGTTTGCCATTGTTCCGTATTTGTCTCTTTCACCAGAATGAAAGCTAGCTTGACTTGCTTTCTCTGCTGCAGTCTCTACTTACAAACATCTGTAACAGGGGAAGAGCTCGGGAACTCTTTTTAAAAAACAAAGAATACAAATGGTGATGCAGAATTTCAAAACAAAATAATAGGAGATTAACAATGGTTAATATATTGCATATTGTTATCTTGAAAGTAGTTGCTCATATTACAAGACACAGGCATGAAACAATGATCAAAGCACAAACCACCCTTTTTGATGAACTAACGGAGAGTAGTATAATTATCTATTGTGTGTGTGTATAATCTTTTCCCTTCTTCTTTTGTACATTTTGGATCTTACTTACTCTTTCAGTTTTTTTACACTAGGGAGACAGACAATATGATGTTTACACAAGAGAGTCTGATTTATTTCACTTATAAATATGGTCTCAAGTTACACCCATTTACCTACAAAATTTATGCCTTTTTTTAAAAAAATCCATTTTATTCAAACATAAAAAGAAAAGAAGGAGGAGGAAGAGAAGAAGAAGAAGACGAAGAAGACTGCAAAATTTTAAAGTACATCAATCAGAGGGTAACAATGGTACATACACTGAACATTGTCATCCCTAAATCAGTCACCTAGAGCACAAGACATCTGCCTTCAATTGTCTGAAAAATACCAGTACAAATTTTTCTCTTCAGTAAACTCGGAGTAATCAGTAGTATAACTATCTTAACTATTTTTATGTACATATACATGCACATGTTTTTCTTTTAGTTTGTCACACTAATGAGACAATACAATGTTTACATGTGTGTCTTATTTCACTAATGAGTATGTTCTCAAGGTACATCCATTTACCTATAAAAGTGTTCACTTTATCATTCTTTATGACTGAGTATTACTCCATTGTATAAAAATACCACCATTGGGGCTGGGGATTTAGCTCAGCGGCATAAGCGCCTGCCTTGCAAGCATGTGGTCATGAGTCTGATCCCTGGTACCGATAAAAACGAAAAAGACAAAAAAAAAAAAATATATCACTATTCCTCAGTCAGTGGGCATTTAGATTGTTTCTAAAATCTGAGCTGCTATAAACAGTGCACATACATCACTGAGTATGATGTTTTTAATTCTTTTAGGGAGATACACAGAAGGAGAATAGCTGGATCTAGTGGGACCTCCATTCCTAGTTTTTTGAGGAATCTCCACACTGATCTCCACAGTGGTTGTACCAGTCTACACTCCCACCAACAGAGGAGCAATTAGACAAGAGAGAGATAAAAGGAATAAGGATAGGAAAGGAAGAAGTTAAATTATCATTATTTGTAGATGACATGATACTCTACATAGAAGACCCCCAAAACTCCTACCAAGACCACCAAAAGACTACCAGAGTTAATAAGCAAATTCAGCAGCCTAGCTGGATACAAAGCCAACACTCAAAATCAATTGCATTCCTGTACACAAACAACAAACTCACTGAGAGAGAAATCAGGGAAACAACACCTCTCACAGCAGCATAAAAAAAAGAAATACTTAGGAATCAATCTAACAAAGGATGTGAAAGATGTATATACTGAGAATTACAGTACTCTGAAAAGGGAGATTGAAGAGGATCTCAGAAAACGAAAAGACATCCCTTGCTCATGGATGGGAAGGACTGACACTGTGAAACTGGTCCTTCTCCCAAAGCTGTTCTACAGATTCAATGCGTCCCCATCCAATACTTCAGTAACTTGGAACGGAAATGGGCTCATGAAGGGAGGTGTCTGAAGTCAGGTTTTCCAGAAGAACCTAATACAGGGATATCTATGCAAGGAGTTTATCGGAGGAGGGGACTTTCAGAAGAGAAGAAGCAAGGGACACAGAGTCAGGAGGCAGGAAGGAGGGGAGGCGGTGCCCTCAGAGTCTGCAGCCACGGGGGCTGCGACGCCAGGAGGGCGGCTGTGTGACCTCCCTGGGAAGCTGGCTCCTGAGAGCAGAGAAGATTCTCCAGAGAAGAAGACAGCCTCGAGTACTGGCTGCCATGCTCACAGCACCAGGCCCAGGAGCAGACAGGGCTCCCGGAGAGCTGTGGAGACTCCGGGGTGTCCTCCTGTTGGGAGAGGCCTGCCATCTTAGGGTCCTCTAAGACACTGATCCCAGAGTGAGTGGATTTCTCTCCACTTCTCTCATCTTGTGGGGGTTTTATCAGACCTGGCAGAAGCTGAAAAGTCAGTCGTCCACATCTCTGGCCAGTCCGGGCCTTGGCACCTTCTCCCAAGCCTGAAGCACCTGCTGGTGTGGCCTCAAAACCCCGCGGGACCAAACAGCAGATTCCACCCTCCAGGCTCCCTCTTCTCTGGAAGAAAGACAGACTCCTCACTCTTTCCCTCTCTGTTTTGCAGGTGCCCAACTCAGTGGTGGCCTGGCAGCCTCCACCAAAGAATGTCACCCTGGCCTGAGGCCCGGCCTTAGACAAAAGCCCTTTTGGAGCTAAGCCTACATCTCTGGCTACAGGACCCTGCCCGCCTCCCCACCACCAGCTAGGGAGGGCAGCTAAATTCATCCCCCCTGAATTGATGGTTTCCATAGAGCAAAGCCATCTCCCCACTCTGGAAGCAAAATGAGCTTGAGCCCTTGCCCACTGTCCTTGGCTTCCAGACAAATAGCTGCCTGTCCTCACACAGAGGAGGGAAGGAAGATGAGACACACCAGCGTCCTGGAACCAGGGCAGGGAGGCCACAGGCGCACAGCACGTGTGAGCAAAGGGCTGGGGGAGGGGCCCAGCGCCAGGAACAAAGGACAAAGGCTGAGCCGCAGCAAACTTCACACCCAGCCCTGCCTCTGCCCCCACAGGCTTGACACCAGACTCACTTGAGTCTGAATGCCTGGCTGTGCTGTCTGTATGTAGCAGGGCGCCCCTGTGCATGCATTTTTAAACCTCAGTTTCCCCTGCTTTCACAGGAGAAGAATAATTGCTGGGTAATTACCTGTTTTGAGAATTAAATAATATATGAGGTCCTAGTGCAACACCTAGGACTTTCTCAGCAAACCAACCTCATTCCTCCCTGTTTAGTGCATGCCCTGAATCTTAGCCTTTTAAGTCCATTTGTAAATCTCAGGATTTAATGGATTTGGGAAACTCTTCCATTTTGTCTCACTAGGGAATGTCATTAAGCCTCTGTGGATGGGACTTCCCAGCTGATGGGTAAGATCCTTTCAAGAGGGCGTCTGTGGAACACAGTGCCTCATCCAAGAGGCCGACAGTGACACAGCTCTTTGTTCTGTGTCTTTTGGCTGACTTTCAGTTCATGAGGAAGTGTCTGTGCTGAAGCCAGTTTGAACGGACTGTGCAAGTAAAATTTCAGGGGCAAACACGCCAGGTGTCTCAGAGAGCAGAGCCCATCGTCTGCTCCAGGGAGCCCTCACTCATGGCTGCAATGAAGAGCGGCTGATTTCACGGTTGGCATTTTATTCCATCTTCACGATTATACCTGTGCAGGTACCACAGTTCTCCCAACACTGCAATTTTCCAATTTAACAAACTAGAGGAATAGTAGGAGCATAGTGACATCCCTGCTCCCATGTGTTCAGCACTCGCTAGCCCGGCATCGGATCCTATCTGAGGAGCGTTGCTTGCATGGATAGTGAGCATCTATTGTGCACCAGCTCTGCAGTTCTAAGCCCTGATGGGGCAAAGAAGAGTAAGACCCCAGGAGCTGAGAGCTGGAAATCAGGGTGCAGAATACTCCGTAACACACACACCCATAAGAGGCCAGGCCCTCCGCTGTGCTCCAAGTCTCCCTTCAACAGGCTTCTTTCTATCCCCAGATGCCCTACGCCCAACACCAACTTCCTTATCCACCTTCCAGCAACCTCAGGTTGTTGACTCAAGGACCGATTTCCCATTCCCGCCATTGAGCATTCTCTCCCCACAATACTTCTTCTTGGGCTTTCATAGCATCCAGCGCTCTAAGCTTTGCCTTCACAGGATGTCAAGCTGCTTCGCAGTCTCCTCTGCTACAACCCTCACCTTGGTGCTCTCTCTACCCTCAGTCAAGCTAGCCCAGGGCCTTTACACTTACTCCTTCCTCTGCTTGGTATAATCTCTCCCATATCTTTGCAGCACTGGATTTTTATCATTCTTTGGAATCTCAATTCAGATATTACCTCCCCAGCAGACTTCCCCTGACCAGTGTTTGCCTCACTTCCTCTGCTGCATTGGTGACCACCTGTGATCATATCATTTGTCTCTGTCATCTCTCCTGTGTGTGTGCTAGGAGATTCCCACACCAGGGCCTGGTGCCAGCGGTGCCTGTGTTTGTGGAGAGCACAACACAGCGTTACACAGAGTTAGAAACTGTTTAGCTTCAGTGAAGAAAAAGAACTGGTTTCTAAGAGGAGACAATGACACGGCAGTTAATCCAGACTGGGTGATGGAGGGGTCTCCCGAGGAGGGTGACGGGGAGACCTGGAGAATGGGCTCCAGCATCTCTGAAGGAACTGGGAGATCACTTCAGGCAGAACAAACAGAACCCGCCAGGATGAGCGCAGGAGAGGAGGAAGTGAGAGAGTCTAGGAAAGGCTCCCGGAGCTTCAGGACTTCCCTTCAGTGTATAAATGCCTGTTAATGTAATGAAGCCATTTCTAGCTGCTTACTCCTATACACAATGCTTCGTTGAATGCCTTGTTTTAAAAGACAGCCATGTCCACTAGAACTGTCACATGAAAAGACAATGCCACGTATCGTTGGCGATGCTATAAAGCAACTCAAACGCTTGTGCCCTGGTAGTGAAAATATAAATTGGCACAAGACTGTGAAAAGCTCACACCAGCGTGTATATTACCCTGTGGGCCGCAATTCTACCCTGGGTGTACTCAGCAGAGGTGTGGATATCTGTCTATCAAAAGACGTGTGCAAAGATATTAACAGCGACACGGCTGGCAGTAGCCAAAAAGGTAAAGTTGAGAAAACAATAAATCTGTATAACTAGAATGGAACGAGCAAGGCTTCTTCCTTCTTGGTAAATAAATATTTTTTAAAGACACTCCCGAAATCCGTTCTACAGCCCACACACATTTCTGCTTTCTCATGCAACTGTCCTGGCCCTGGGCCGCTCCTGCGGTCAGCCCAGTCTTTCCCGTAAGGAGTGCACGCTCCCTGCAGCCCCGAGCCCAGGTGGGGAGGCGTGGGGCCGGCTCTGACAGTGCGGGACGCGGGCTGTTTCCCATAGGCTTCTTCAGCATGGCTGCGCTGTTCCAGCGAGTGTCAGACTTCCTGTCTCTGCTGGCCCTCAGGCCCTGAGAGCGACCTCGTGACCCTCCACTTTCCTGGAGAACGTCCTGTCTGTTCCTTGACACTGCAGCTCCCCGCCTTCCCGCTCGCCCTTTGGGGCCCACCTTAGGTTCTGGAGTATTGTGCTGATGAGTTTTCTCTCTCTGCATCTCCAGGCTGCTCTCCATTCCTCCCAGTCCTGGCCTGGGTCCCTCGAAGCTCCCGAGAAGGACACATATCAGTGGCTGCCCCTCTGCTAGGCGTGGCCGATGAGGCGCTGTCAGAACCAGAAGTAGCAGGAAAGGGAGCCGGGTGTTTTTCCCTTTACCTCCTCCCCGATGGGGAGCAAATCTCAGGACAGCAACAGCTACACCCCGCAGTCTGGCTAGAAGCGCCTCTGCAGTGGCTTTTTCTACTGAGCTAGACCCGCAGGCTTCCTGGAAGGCACAGTTAGGTCACATGACTGCCCCAGCTCTAGGGTGCATCACCACCATAGTGCTTTCCTGCCTCACACAGTTGGAAGTGGCCCTTTAATTCTCCAGTTATGCAATGTGTGTAACGCTCAGATCTTCTGCCCTGCTCCGCAACAGACACATAAATGAGATGGTGCATCCTCATAATATATAGCATGCTCTTGCGTGGGTACATGCACACATACGTGTAATAAATATAGCATTCCTGTACTCCGAGTCTGGTTCCTTCTTATTTATCTCCCTGTCATCTGTTGTGTGTGCTCTGGTTGCAGCCTCTGGCACCTCCTCACTGGGAACCCCTTCGTTCATCTCTCCAGCCCAAGTAAGAAACTACCTTCAATTTAGCACTGGCGCTATCCAGTAGTCCCTTATAAATAGCTCCTCAATTAAACTTATTCCAAGTTCTTCTTACCTCAGACGCAGAATTGTGCAAGACAAGCCAAAAACAGTGCCAAAAGGTTATTTGAAAAGTGAAGGGTGACGGGGTGAGGGAAGAGCTGGCTCTGCAGAGTGAAGCTGAGCCAAACAAAAGCAGAAAGGAGAAAAAGAGCAAAAATAAAAGACACCCTGGCCTGGAAGCCACCACAGAGAGCCCACAGTGAGCTCTTCCTGGCGTCTGTGCTCTTGTGTGCTGGCCGCTTCTCATGGGACCTTGCAACAAGTTCTCCACACAGGGGCCGGGAGGTACGTGGCTGGTCCTGGGATCTCATCATTAACAGGCCTCACTTATTTCCCGGTCGCTTTGCCATGCCCTGCGTCTTATCTCACTACCACACACAATGCCACAGGAAATTACAGTTCTAAGCTTTCTGACCCACTGGTTTTAGCTCTTTTCTAGGTCTCAATTCTGTATTTACGTCAAACACGGCAATCTCATGAATATTCCATGTTGCACATACAGATCTCAAGTCTATGTTTCTCAGTTAAACAAAGTAACCTTTAAATTCGTAAAAGGGACTTTTATAATATTTTTCCTGACTTTGTTTTACAACAATCATAGATTGTATAACAATATAAATAGCAGGAATCACATGGGTGACTATTTATTGAGCACTGTACATATCCTGAGGTCTTTTCTAGCCTGGATTCAGCAAATTCAACAGGATGTAGAGTCAGGTTGGACCCATTTACAAGGACTGATTATTAATTTTTTTTTTTTTTGTCTATTTTGAGACAGGGTCTCGCTATGCAGTTCAGGCTGGCCTTGAGCTCACTTTGTAGGCCAAGCTGGTCTTGAACTCTCAACGATCCTCCCACCTCAGCCTCCCAAGTGCTGAGATTACAGGCGTGAGCCACCACACCCGGCTCAATAATTAAATTTTTAAGAATTTTGTGAGCACATTACTAAACACAGCAGCTGCTAAAATCTCCACTATATAAACTCACTATTAAGTATATTACATAAAAATGTAATAAAAGCATATCAGTTCCTAATTACTACCCCAAATTGTTCTCTAGGCTCAGGTGGTTTATGTGTGTATCTGTGCAGTGGAAATACTAGATATTGCTGCACATCTCTTCCTAGTCTACAATCCATGCCATCTCATTTATACCTTGTGATCAATCTAGTAGTAGTATGCATAGAATAGACTCTCAAACTGTGACCAACCAGCCTCACAAACAACTAGCATTTTTAGGGTTAATTTACCACCATGGTCTTGATCTATGATCTGAATGCTGGCTGCTTTTGTGTTTGTAAACAAAGACTCCCTATGCCAGAAAAGCATGTGCTTACATGTACATTAGCATCAATCTGAGCCCAGATACATCTGGATCACGGTTTCAGTCAATGGTTTTTATAATCACTACCAATTACTGTTAACAAAATGGCCCCCCAAAAAGCTAGATAAGAAGCTAAGGAAGGTGAAGAAAGTGATCACAATCAAAAAGAAGAAAGAAATTGTAGAGAAATATAACAGTGGTGTGTGTGTGACCAATCTCGCTGACATGTACAGAATGTCAAAATCCACCATCTCAACAATCTTATGGAACACAGATTTGTATAAGGAAGCTAGTGTTGCTGAAGGTGTTGCTCAAATGAGTAAGTCATGGTCAACGGTGTTAGGTGGGGCAGAAAGGTTATTACTAGCATGGCTAAGTGAAAGACAGATGGCAGGTTACAGTCACCTGAGTATAATTGGTGGCAATGCAGTGGCTACAGATGCAGAACTCATAAAGAATAATCCATCAGTGAGTTCCCAGAGCATTCAGAAAACATGAAATTCACAAAGAATAGGCTGTGGTCTTGAGGGGATCTAACACAAAAACCTGGGTAACAAGAGCACATTTTCTTGAGTAGATCAGGGAGGCTTTCTTCTTACTGTTAAGAGGTATCAAGAGGACAAAGGTTTACCACTCAAGGCTCTCCTCATCATGGACAATGCTCCTGCTCTCACATGAGATTCAGAAGAAGAATTGGCTGAAGAATTCCCATGGCTCTCAGTTCAGTTCCTCTCTCCCAAAACAACTCCCCTACTGCAGCTTATGGACCAGCAGGTTATAGCTGACTTTAAGAAGCCACACATCTAGGAACTGTTCCTGAAGTGCCTCCAGACGGTCTCGGACACACATTTAACCTTTACAGGGTTCCAGAAGGAACATTACAACATCCTCTCCTGAGTGACCTTAACTGAGAAATCTTGGGCCAGCGTCTCTCTAAGGACACTGAGATGTGCCTGGAAGAAAGAGCGGCCTAAAATGATACAGAAGAGGGACCTTGAAGGCTGTGTGGAGGACCCTGTGGTTGGTGACACTGTCACTATAGCAGGGTCCGCAGACAGTGGTGATGCTGAGGAACTGGTCTAGGATCACTCAGTGGAATTATCTACAGAGGAGCTTCAACAGCTCTGGCTGAGCGGCAGAGAATGGCGGCTGGAGAGATTTCTGAGGAGGAGGCAGATATCAACAATCAGTGTAGCAAAGTTCTTCTGAAATAAAAGAAATCCTGAAAAAACAGACCGAACTACAAACACTTGTAGAGAAGACCCACCCAGCAGCAAAAAGCTGATCGCTGCATTCACTTGCTTAAGACAATGTGAAGTCATATTACAGAGTGGTATAGAAGAAAAGGTAGAAGCAGACAACCTCAGAGCAATTTTTAGTTCTGAAAATGTTGAGACCTAGGGAGCAGGAGCAGGTCCTAATGGACTGCAGACTCTCCCAGGGAGGGAAAGGACCTCAGAGACCAGATTCCGGATGTTCTCATGGAAGGGATCCTCCTTCCAAACAATAACCACCTTCCATCTCACCTCCCTTCCTGCAAGCAGAGGCCATTCTGAATGGCAGGTACAGTATGAAACTGTTGTTTATGGTAAACTAGGAACATTTCATAACTTCTGGTGAATACACTAGGAAAATTATTGGTGCTTTTGGTAAACTAGGTATATACTTTTTTGGTACCAGGAATTGAACTCAAGACCTTGCCAGTAAGGAAATCATGCACATTATACAACTGTTTTTTAAATATAAAGAAAACATTCATTAAGAGATGCTTTGGAACAGACTACAGATATTTCCATTATTTCTTACAGGAAAAACAGCCTGGACTCACAACCAGCTTGAGTTACAATCAGCCCTCACAAATGAACTGAATTCGTAAGTCAAAGGTCCCCTGCACCATGGGAATCTGCAAATGGTTCCCAGAGCTGAGAGTTAAACACCAACCCCTTCATTCTTACAACCAGCCCTGAGAGGAGGATGTGAAGCTTACAGGAGGTATAAAGTAAGTCTCCAAGTTGCCAAGTCTAGTGAGAGAGAAGACCAAGGCTGTAACCATAACGATACCAGCTATGAACACTGCTATGGTCTGAAGATGGTTTGTGGCCCCCAAGCATTCACTGGGCTCAGAGGCTCCTAGGTGGAACTGTGGAAGGAGGCAGAAACTTTGGAAGGAGGGGCCCAGTATGGGACCACAGGTCACAGAGGTGTAATCCCTTCTCACGCAACCCCTTCGGCAGCTCTCAGGGGAACTGCCTGAGAGAAAGGAGAAACCTGGCCCTCTTTTCTGTTCTAGGTCAAGTTGTGATTCCTGCTCCTTTACAAGTTCCCGCCATGATGTGTCACCCACCACTATACTCACCAGACCATATTCGCCGGGCTCCTCACAGTTAGGCTTAGAACCTCTAAAACTGTGTGCTAAACAAACCTTTTCTCTTTATAAAGCTAGATTCCTTGGGTACTTAATTATAGTAATAAAAAGCTGACTCATATACCTCTTCAACATGTATTACAGAACAATCAAGGCATAGATACAGAAACCAAATGGCAGGACTTGGTGTCCAACAGCTTAATGCAAACAAGGAAGCTAGGCACAGAAGGCTGGTTAGCTGAGATTATATAGTTAATAGAGAGAAAGAGAATGGGTTCAAGCTAAAACTTCTCACCCTAGTTCCACCATTTACACACCACCTTCAGATCCAAACACTGAAAATGGGCAGGACCTAGGCAGCCACTGTGCCAACACTGTGACTCTGTTCCACCCTCTATCTTTAAATCATATGGGTTTTTTTCTTTTTCTTTTCTTTTTTTCTTTTTTTGGAGACAAGTTCTCGTCAGGCTGACTTTGGACTCACCATGGATCCAGGGCTGGTCTCAAGTAAATGGATGCAACTTGAGACCATACTCAGAAATGAAATAAATCAGACTCA